TAGGCATATGAACTTGTATAGTACACACCCAATGTCAAGAGGCAGCCTTCCTCTGAGGCCATTTTGCCAGTCCGAGTATCATGTCCATCCTTGGAAAACGTAGAGAAGACCCAACCAAGCAACACAAGTTCCAAAGGATAACAAAATGTAGCCCACAATATACCTCTTCTAAACTCTGGGTTGACATACTAAACAGCAGTTAAGCAGCACAGAGCCTGAATAAGTAGAGGATTAAAAGGAGTAATTAGAGCCAGGTTTGTTAGTGCATACCTTTAATCCCAGTACTCTGGAGGCAGAAGCAGGTGGATCTCAGTGAGATCAAGGTCAGCCTGCTCTACATAGCAAGTTCTAGGCTATCTGGGGTTACAGGGAGTTGCTATCTCCAAATAAAGGGGGGAGGGTAATTATTGGTTTTCTGTATTCCAGGCAGTCATAGTTTGTATGTAGAGGTAGCTTAAACATGTGTACCCAGGTTAACACTGCAGGTTGCTTTTTGTAGCACACACATATCTAAGTCTGTTGGTTTGTCCTCATTTGGGGTTTAGCCACCAACCTTACACAAAATCCTGAACTTGACACATGTATTCTAGAATTGTGCTGACAGTGATGAAGGTTAGAGGATCTGAATTTTAATTTCAATTCTATCATGCATGGAGAGTAACTCTGACTTGGGAAAATCATTTGAAAAGTTTGGGCTGTCATTTCCCAATCAGTGAAGTAATATGTTTGCTGCAAAATCTGACCAGAGGGTCCCCTGGCTCATCCACTGCATTGTTCTCTGAATAGAGAGAGCCCAGTGAGTGGGTAGGCTGTCCAGCATTACTATGCTTCTGTTTTCCATAGGAACACTGGGCAGAGGATTCCTAAGGTAGAATTCTATTCATCTGTCCAAATCCCCATTTCTACCCCTAAGACAATTGAGACTGGAAGTTGGAGCAGTTTATCCCAGATCCTCCATGTTGTAAAGAAAAGGGCCAGGCCTCCCACCAAAAGCACCTTTCTTCCTGTCACGTGGTTGCTGTGATTTCTAAAATATCAAATCATAATCAGTCTAAATTTGGGAAGATGGGATTAGATTCCCAGCACAGCCCACAGAGTGTATCCTGAGGGTTTTTAGAGGTTTTTGATTAATTATAACCAGTGGAGACATACCTGTGGAGTGTTAATAAAATAACTGATTAAATTTACATGGAAAAAAAAGTAGGTATAGGTTAGGTTGCTAAAGAGACTCAAATGTGGCCAGGTATAGTAGTTTACTGTAATCCAGCAGTTGGGAAGCAGAGGCAGGAGGAGCATGAATTCCAGGCAAGTTTCAGCTACACAGTTAAGACCCTAATGAGGGTTTAGGGGGCAAGAGAGGGAGGAAGAGAGAGAGAGGTAGAGGTAGAGGGAAAGAGAACAAATGCAAAATAGAATCTGTTTAATAATTTAAAAATTCTCTGAGTTGAGTAATCAAGAAGAAAATTGTTCCTTTTAAAAATATCTTACCAAGTTAATGAGATAGTCACTCAGAATAGAATTAAAAGTTTTGAGTTTGTTGGGAGACTTTTTAAGAGAGCAAAGGGCAGTAGCTCATATTGAAATGGATGTCATATTTGTGGTTCAGTGCCTCTTCAACCACCTGAGTACGCAAACAGAGGGCCTTTTAGTCATTTTGATGTCTATGTAAATGTCCTTTTATTTTTGAAACCCTAAGGATGGTATATGAATAAATGTCAGGCAATGCTGCTCCAAATCACCCTTGCTCATTGCGCTAATATCTTCATTTAAGATCCGGGCTAGGAGATGACTCAGTAGGCAAAGTGCATGTTATGTAAACATGAGGACCTGAGTTCAGATCTCCAGTACCCACCTAAAAGCTGGACACAGAGGCATGCATCTGTAACCCCAACATTGTGGGGACACACAGAGACAAACAGATCCTAGGAGCTCACTGGCCAGTTAGCCTAGCTAAAACTGTGAGTTTCAGGTTCAGTGAGAGACCCTGTCTCAAAAAATAAAGTGGAGCGAACAATCAAGAAACACACATGATTTTGACCTCTGGTCTGGAACACATGCATATACCACAAACAAGTAAATAAGCTAGAGCTACTTTTTTGTTAAGGACTGCTAAAGAAGTGATTATTGGTGCCTATGTGTTCTTGACTGTTGAAAGCACTGTCAGAGCTGGGATGATATTTGCTTTCTCTTTGTCATGGTATTTACATGCCCTGGTGTGGACCCAAGTGAGTTAAATTTGATGGTCTCTTGATCGTACCTCAATCCCTGATGGATGCATGTCTAAATGACAACACTCAGTTTAATGTCCATTAACACTGCTGGTAGGGAAACAGGGAGTAGGTGTGACATGATAATCTAAAACATGAATGGCAAGATTGGGAACGTTCCATGAAGGTTCATTTCCTCCTCTGGTATCCGGTTCTAGAAGCACCCTTTGGTTCTCTGTGTTCTGTAATGCTGTGATACATCAAGTCAGACCATGAACATTCACTGAGTGGGAGAATCTCAAAACTTGACAACTGCCCCCTGTGAATGTAGCACTAGAGTTTCTTTCTCATAGGAGCCTAGATCTCTCAGACTTAACAAGGACCAGCCTCTTGACAGTTGGGTAGTGTCATTCAGGATAAGGATGACAGACAGCTGTCTGGGGTGAGCCTCAGTGGCATTGTGCACAGCAGTCCTTCAGTAGGTTTGATTGTAAGTTTGATTAACAAGGCCACTTTCCAGATAGGTCTTCCATGGAGATTCTAGCAAAGGGCACACACATTTCTGTGTTCACCATTGTCTGTAGCTCTGTATGGGGATGTGTTGGATGCAGTGGGGCCTTTTTGGAAACAGCAGGATGATACTAGGCAGACCATGACAGGTCTTTAGAGAGACATGCCTGCTCTAACCCAGGCCTACAAGCAGACTGGACTGAAAGGGGGAGCCATGAATTGAGTGTTGACAGCGGGCCACAGCAGTCCGAAGGCTCAGGTGGTTGTCAGCCATAAGTTTAGCTCAGCTCTTTGAGTAATTTGTCACGCCTCACTCAGCCCCTGCTGGGCCAGCACGTGCCAGCTTAGTGTCAGAGGGCCTGTTCGCCAGACGGCCACTCAGGCCTAACGTCCTGCTGTTCACCGGACCAGTGGCTTGCTGGGGCTATGCACGGAGGGCCTCACTGTGGCGACAGCCAAGTGCTGTGCAGAATGAGCGTGTTCATAATGAGACGTGAATGGCATTAGTAGGTCCCTCTAGAATTGGGCCTGAGCAGGCGCCTCTCACTGAGGAAGTTTGGCAGCCTGTTCATTAAAGCAAGTCACCAGGAGTTCAGCCCACAGCTGAGAAGCCAAGCTCTGGCTCATGCTGCCCAGGCCTGGGGCTGTTGTGACCATTGATAGAAAAAAGCATAGATCTTCAGAGGCCACTTTGAAAGCTTCCACTGTATTTTCTTTATTTTTGAAAGAGAGTCATGTAGTGCAAGCTTACAGAGAAATTCTGGTATGAAGTGATGCTTTCCACAAGGATGGACAGGTCCTATATCTACAACTTGGAGCCATGACCCCCAGCCTTGTGTGGCTATTGAATGCTCAAAATATATTGAGTGGGGCAGAGGAATTTAGGTGTTCCTTTGCATTTCAGCTAATGAACATTTAAATTTGGATAGTCATATGAGGTATCGAGTGATCCAACTGAGCCCCAGAATGCCTCTGGTCACCTCAGTGGGTGAAACCATCCTCTGAAGGCATAAAGCAATAGGGGGAGGGAGAACCCGCATCCAGGAATCAGTGTCAAGACTTTGGAAAAAGAAAATGGAAAAGTATTTCCAATTTTAAAACAAGCTCTATTGAAAGCTAACTGGAGGGGCATAATTGTCCCCAACTTATATTTTTCAAGTGGCCATTTTGGAAGATTGCTTTAAGATATGGTGAGATATGCAGAATCATGTTTCCTCTTTGCAGCTGCAGATGATAAACTGGTGATAATCCACATTCCCTGTGTTGATGAAGAATTAGCACAATTTTCAAAATAATCAAAACACACCCTTTAACTTTTGCATCGATAATGAGGAAGGGGAAAATGAGACATCATGCCGACTTCCCCAAGTGTTAATTCATAACGTCGCATGTGTGGCGCCTCCATCCATTGTCGGATTGTTCTGACGTTATCCTGTTATTGGAAGTGCATGATTCACCTTCTGAGGAAACACAAGCCACACACAAAGGGGAAGATTTGCTTTCTGCCCTGTGAAAGGCTGCCACACGCAGGGGTCCTATTAAGACAGCTGGAAAGTTGCTTCAGCGTGTTACGCTTGTAAGTTTTATTGGTGACTGGTTTTTGATTACACATTTGAATGTTGTGTGTTCCAGACTGCAGTTTTAATTAAAAGGCAATGGTTTCTTTCTTTCTTTTTTTTTTTTTTTCCAATCGTACTGTACGCAGTTTGCTAGATTCTCCATATTCATTCTTATTTTCTAATGCTCATAACTTACCCTGGTCAGAGGCTCCACTGCCCTTGCAGTCTTAACTACTGGCCTCCTCTTCCCAGTCACTTATATTTTCTTATTTTTGTTGAATGTGTTCACCACATCACCAGCTCTTACTTGAAATTTTGGTTCATTATTTCAGTAGGCTGAGAAGAATATCTCATTGACCCAAATAGGAAGTGAAGATCAAGGCTGTCACATTGATGCCAATGAGCAATGTTGTTATAGTCACCCACCTCACTTGTTTTTAAGCCAGTCTTAATGGTGTTTTGATATAATTTTGCAACTATTGGTGCATGAGCTTCTAATGATGTTAGTGTTGAATATAATTGAAGCCTAAAGAAACTTAGGTCTTAAAATTAGAATCCTAGTATTACTTATGACAAATATTTAATTTTCTGGCAAAATGCTAAAGAACTTCCAAGATACTTTTTTTTAACAAAGGGGAAAGCTGAGTAACTATTTAAAACAAATTGTCCATCGCCACACATGCCATTTCGTATGTGTGTTTGTCTCCTTAACCAATTAATGCAGCTACGAAGAGCGAGCTCTGTATCTGGAAGCAATAATTCAGAACCACCGGGAAGTCATGACATTTGAAGATTTCGCTGCTCAAGTCTTTTCTCCCTCTCCCAGCTACTCTCTCAGTGGAACGGGTGAGTGTCTACATTATTCTCTCTCCCGCTTAAGACGCATTGAGTAGCAGATGTACACCTGTTTTCCACAGATAAATGCTTGTGAATTTAAGAAGAACATTCTCCCTCTGAATCAACTAATGAATATCAAAAGGAATGATGACATTCATTTTAATTTGTTTTGTATCCGAGCTGTTCGCGCTGTCCCTTTCTTCAGCTATCCTGTTAACCCTCAAATCTAGCAAGGTTAATGAACTTTTTCTCAGTAATGTGCTCCGGTTCATTCAGGAGTGTGAGTTTCTTGCTGAGCCGAGAATATGTTGTTTAAAAGCCATGCCCGAATCACTGCTTACTTATCAAAAAAAGAGTTCCTCACAGTTGAAGCCGTTGCTACTAATGCTAAATGGGGATTATGCTGCCAAGATACTAGGGTCAGGGATTAATGCTGGAGACATGGAAGGACAGTGTCCCCAGGCCCATCATTACTGAGTGCTGCGTGCACACTGCTCTCTGGAGTGGTTGGTGTCATGCGGACAAGCCACCAAGCAGAACAGCACCTGGTGTGGAGCCCTTTAGAAAGTAGCTTATAATCATTTTCATTTAGTAGGCCAGTGGAAATTGCAAAAATCTCCATGGGTTTCCTTGTTTTTAGGCACTGACTATTTTTATATATTATCAATTTGAAAAAAAATGTGTACTACCACTTACACTGATGATATGATTACTGTGGTGTTTTCTTCAAAGAATAAAATCATTACTTGTAAATTTCTGCATACAGGCACAGATTAATTGCCTGTCAGAGAGTAAGTGGGATATTTAGTCAAAGCATGTTGAAATTCTCAATGAGGGGGCTTTCTTCATCTTCCACTGGTTTCAGCACAACTGTGAGTGCTTAATAGATTTCTAACCTGTGTTAATTGCCTCTGAACACAGCCTTACTTCTCCTATTCTGACTTGTTAACAAATATCGTACACACAAAGTGAAAAAAATTAAATTCAGTGAAATAAATCACTTACAAATAAAATCAGCCATGCATCATTGTTTAACATCTCTGGCTTCAGTCGGTGCCTCTGGGAGCTTTGTTGGGAGATAAGAGGGAGAGGCGCGCACTTGCACAGGGAGCCAGGAGCAGCAGGCAGAAGGCTTGGGAGATAAGCAAGCTGGCAGAGGTGTGGAGCCCCATTTACATAATCACGCCGCTGCTTCCTGGTGAGGCTGGAGAAACACAGGAATGGCCTCTATTGATCTTTGTTGAACTGGAATACTGAGCAACATGAGAAAAGCTTATAACTTAAAGCTCTGATTAATGTTTCTTACATTAAAAAAAAAGTAGAACAGCTGTGAATTGAATTCTTTTATATACTCTGCCAGCATTCTATCTAAGACAAACAAGTCTGTTTCAAGGGAAATGAAGATTTCATACCCAGTCTGGCTAGAAATTTAAAATTGTGTCTCATTTTTCAGAGAAAGAACATGAGGAATCCACAGCAAGCTAGTTTTTTTGTTTTGTTTTGTTTTGTTTTTTTAAAGCAATCTTGTTCAGCTTTTCTTATCCTTATGAGATACTGGGGTTTGATTTTCTTCCAGGCTTTTGTTTCTTAACTTTTGAGAAAACACTTAATTTCTTAAAAATGAAAGAAAAATATGAAATAATAACTAGATGTTTAAATTCCTTAACTTTTATTCTTAAGGTTGATTATGATATTTTAAAACAATGATGAGTGTTATTCTCTATGTATGTTTTAGCCTCTGAATAAATAAAATTCATGATTATTCAAATCAGTTCAGATTCAGTTTCTAGATTATGACTTAAGTGAGACCACAGGAGCTTTTGAGTTTCTGTGACCTCTGCTTGGGAAGGGTAGTTAGTAGATTTCTTGGAGAATATCATTTTTTAAAAAAAAATTTTGATAAAAATTCTGACAGTTTATAAGGATAGACATTGGAAGTTTTATAAATGGAGCAAGAAACCAAATAATAGGATATCAAAACAAGTGCTGGTTCTTCTTCTTTTCTGTTAACATCAGCACTGCACTTCATACTAGTCATGTTTCTATCTGTCCTTAATGATGATCAGGAAAGAAGTAAAAATCATTCCATTTGAACTAAAATGTGGGGGCAGTACAGTGAGGATGGAATTTGGCAGTCTGCTATACAGGCACTGTCTCAGAGCCACATCCCCCGCTTGCCTACTTGCAGACTTCACTATGGGGAATCCCCATTTCTATTTCTACTTTCACAGAGGAAAACACTCTTCAATTGTTCATAGTGATTTTTATTTTCTTGGGAGAAGCACAGTCCAACTCACATGAGCCCAACCTCCTTAAACCAAGAAAGGCTGCTTTTCCAAACAACAAACCAACTGGAAAAATTGATGCTGAACGGCTTAAGCTCCTACAATGTACACAGGGTCCAGTTAGACCCTCTCTGGCCATCACTATCATCAAAGCTGGGCCTTGGGGTCCTTACATACATATGTGTACAGGCTTTCCTAGGCTTTGTTTGTATCCTCTCAGCAAGGGGCAGTGGGGTATGGCACAGCCCCACTTCTAAGAGGGAAGGAGATGTGCCAGCTGGGCCTGACCAGAGACTCCACTGATGGGAAATGCCTTTGCCTGCCATGCTTCCTGCCCACAAAGCCTTGGGGTCAGAGTGGCTGTATGAGTGTACATCCATCCATGATGCACCATCCACTCCAAATAGGGACACAGGGCTAATACATGAGTTCAACTTCTATCAAAATTCTTTTTAAAAAAGTTTCATCTCCCAAATCAGAAATAGTGTTTTATAATATTTTTAAAGTACCCCTTGGAAATCTGTTGCTTGTATTGGTAGCACTGGATATTTATAGGTATTTTGATGGCTTTTTTCCCCTAAGCTTTGCCTGCCTCTTGCCTTCCTTTATTGATCCCTTCCCTTATTGACCAGCAATAAATAATCTAGAAAGTAGCCAGTGTTACATCTATATGTTTTATGCATACAAATTTGTATGCATTTAACCCATACAACTATGGGAGTAGAGGGCTAAGTTTGTGTTTTCCAGCATGTTACTAAGGAAGGGGGCAGCAGAGATACTGGAAAGGGTTAACTGGAATGGGCACCCTCGAGTGCTGGGGAGGGACTGATGTAATCACTGCAGCTCACAGCCAAGTGCATCTGTTCACCATGAGGTCATTCTTCTGCATGCTAATGACTTGGAGACTCCAGTCTGATGTTTGACATTATCCGAAGGGATGTAGTGTAAATCTTTACCTTTGGGAGCTGATCTCACAGAACAAAAAGAGGGAAAGAAACTTGCCTGGACTTGATTTTTTTTTTTTTTTCCTGGAGCTGTTCTAAAGATTGTAACTGGACCTTAAACACTTGAAGGACTCCACTAGTGTCTGTTGAAAAACAAATTCCAAAGTTACTATTAAGGTTTGTAATGAGAACTGTCAAGTGTGATATCTGACTTGCAGAATTTCTAAATTCCTTGGTCAGAAGTTAGTGAAGATGGGGTTTTTTCTATGGTATGTCTAAAGCCAAGTTCAGTGAGATTTGTCCTCAATATACCTGGATTGGCTGGTGTTTGCTGAAGGTGCCAACACTGTTTACCGCTCCTGCCTACTTCAATATTGCTATAGAGGGCCAGCAGAGGGAGCACAGGTCTTTGTTTATTTGTTAGCCTCAAACACCGCCCTTGATTTCTCCTTCACATAGTCAGCAGTTCCTCCTTCTTGATTGGCATGATTGTAGCAGCTCCAGGATATAGAGTGAGGGGGAGAAAATGCCTCACACTGCTTCTACACTGCGATCTGCCACTTAAACGTAGGTCATATTTGGAGCTTAAACCAGATTAGTCTGGGTCAGTTTTAGGATGCCGACACTGTCCAAGCTGCAAACTTTCCTCTTTCTTACACTTGCACAGATGGTCTCTTGGGAAGGAATATTATGTTCATCTACCTCATAAAACAGACTTCTGTCCTGTTATTTTGATATTCATTATAACAACTTTAAACATTCCATCAGAAAACCCTCACCCGATGCCATCAGTTCAATTTAGTAGCCAAGAAAATCAACTCACAAAGCTGCAGGCAGCACATCATGTCACACCTTGGTCCAAAGGGAATCTGGCATGCAGATGCCACACACACTAGTTCTAAAACTCACTGGCCTGTGCCCAGAGAGGTGACGCTCCACCAGCTTCCACCTGCTGAGCCCTCCACAGTACATGGTGCTTACCGTGCCAGCACCTTGCAGGCTTATCCATCTGTATGCATATCCTCACAGGAATATTTTACTGGGCAGTTAATAAGCTAACCCTCAGAAGCAACCCTAATCCCCCCCAAATTTTCACATCCATCAAAAGGGTGGTCCCACTGTAGCTTCATTCAGTCAGTATCATCCTTTCTTTCTTATTCTCCCTCCCTCCATCCCTGTTGAAATGATCTTAGTTAGGTTGTGATTAAAAGCACAGTTCATGCTTCTTATGTGCTTAGCTTTGTTATAACTTGGGGAAAAACAGCAAAGACCATAATAGAATGTAGAGGCAGAAGAAACTTTGGGAAATATCAAGTCTAGTCCCAATTTACTAATTTTGACAAGGGGGCTGGAGAGATGGCTCAGTGGTTAAAAGCAGCGGCCGCTCTTGCAAAGGACCTGGGTTCAATTCCCAGCACCCACATGATGGCTAACAACTATCCTTAACTCCAGTTCCAGGGGATCTGAGGCCCCCCCTTCTGATCTCCATAGGCATTGCATGGAGGTGCACCTACCTACAAGCAGGCAATACACTCATACTCATACACATAAAATAAAAATAATGAATAAAATATTTTTTAAAAACAAAAAAAAAATTTGACTAAGCTGAAGCATAAGTCATGAATGAACAACCAAAGATTACAGGAAAGTTGGAAGCAGAGACAAGCCAACCCAATACCCACCCCGTGATGATGGTCCCATAGAACAAGCATCAGTGCTTGTTAAAGGCCAGAATTAAATGTGTGAATTTGATGAAGAGAATCCAGAAAGTTTCCTTAAA